TAGTACTACTACTACTACTACTACTACTACTACTACTACTACGACTTACTACTACTACTTACTACTACTACTACTACTACTACTACTACTACTACTACTACTACTACTACTACTACTACTACTACTACTACTACTACTACTACTACTACTTCGACTCCTACTACTACTGCTACTACTACTGCTGCTACTACGACTACTACTACGACAACTACTACTTCCCATTGCTGTTCCTTATAGGTGTCGTCCCTGCCGCACCCCGAAGCCAAGCCCAGGCGTTTCGCCTGAGACTTCCTTACCAACTGTTACCCTGAAACTTCAAGATTGGCAACGATTTCATACATGGAGGGCTGATGGTTTTCTTGTAAATGTGGGTCTCACTTCAGCGCCGCGCATGTTCAATTATAAAAAATCCAAGAGTGACACGGATTGAAGGCGGGTCGGTTTCAAAATGTGGCTCTCGCTTTAACGCCACGAACATTCGTCTAAAGCGTTGCGAGAGCTGTACGGATTGAGGGCGGCGCATGTTCAACATGTGCTTCTCGAATGAGCACCGCGCACATTCGGTAATCATAGTTTGACGAATTGTCATGGCTAACGTACCTGGGAATGATGTTGGAGCGACTCGCGATTGTCAGGGCACAACAGTCACACTGATTCGCGATGTTGACGTCCCAGGAATGGTGCTCTGACACGATGCAGGATCGGCAACAATCAAGTTGATCAGTTGCGTTGAAACCCGAAGAACGTGGTTGTGGCACGCTTCAGGATCTTGAAACGGTTGTCTCCCAACGGGGCACTTCCCCCAGTGGGAATGAATCCTGGCAGATGCCTATGAAGAGGGAGCATGGGGGGAGGGTTGCTTACAACATCGCTGATGAGCTTTGGGTTTGCACTGGTTCTCCTCCTCCTCCTCCTCCTTCTCCTCCTCCTCCTCCTCCCTCCTCCCCCTCCTCCTCCTCCTCCTCCTCCTCCTCCTCTTCCTCATCCTCCTCCTCCTCCTCCTCGTCCTCCTCCTCCTCCTCCTCTTCCTCCTCCTCCTCCTCCTTCTCCGTCCTCCGTCCTCCGTCCTCCTCCTCCTTCTTCCTCCTCCTCCTCCGCCTCCTCCTCCTCCTCCTCGTCCTCCCTCCACATCCTCCTCCTCCTCATCATCCTCCTCGTCCTCCTCCTCCTCCACATCCTCATCATTATCCTCCTCCTCCTCCTCCTCCTCCTCCCTCCTCCTCCTCCTCCTCCTCCTCCTCCTCCTCCTCACTCTCCTTCTCCTCCAGCATCCTCAGGCATCCTCATCCCCCCCCCTCGATGACGACGACGACGACGACGACGACGACGACGACGACTACGACGACGATTATGATTACGACGACGATGACGGTGGCAATGACGACGAAGACGCGGACGTCTACGCTTCGCAGGATTTGGACCGTTTCTGAAGGTTCTTGTCACCACGACTGGGCGCTGCTCGAGATTCTAGACAGGATTGACCCCAGGACAAATACTGAAACCGACTTTGAATGTATTTGGGTTGGGTGTTGGAGGCCGCCCAAATGGGATCCGAGTAGATGGGGTCGGAGGATCGCGCCACGTCGCCGATGCATCGACAATGCATCGGAAACGTCAGGATGGAAAAAAACAGGCTTCAAATCAAGCCCGATACGGAGGAGGGAAGAGGGAGGAGGAGGAGGAGGAGGAGGAGGAGGAGGAGGAGGGATGAAGAGGAATGAGGAGGAGGAGGAGGAGGAGGAGGAGGAGGGGGAGGAAGAGGAGGAGGAGGAGGAGGAAGAGGAGGAGGAGGAGGAACAGGAGGAGGAGGGGGACTGGCGTTTCTAGATGCACAGCACACATAGATTGATAGCTAGCACAGCATAAACTGCACCACATAGCTTGCAAAACATAGATTGCACGACATCGATTGCACATTGATTGGGCCGTGGACACTGCAACAAAAAAGTTGCCCCTTCATAATTTGAACCACATGGACTGTACTCCTCAGATTAAACCGTATCGATTGCACTTCACAGAATGCAACACATAGATTGCAACACATAGCTTGCACCATATTGACTGTACTCCTTAGATTGAACAAAGTGCACGGCATACGGTGCACCACCTAGGTTGCAACACACAGCGTGCACCACATGGCTTGCACCATATGGCTGGCACAACAGTTGTTGTACCCCATACAAATACAACGCACCGCCAATACTGCCCCACATGCGTCGCACCCCATAGATCGCATCGCATTGGTTGCACCATACAGATTGCAACACACAGGCTCATCATACACCTATTGCACCACAAAGATCGCACATCGAGAATACAAACTCCCGTTACTTGGAAGTCCACGCTGGCAAACATATGTCATAAGACCCCTGCCCAGTAGCCTACACAGCACCGCTGCACATTTGAAGCAAAGACCCAGACAAACTCGGACCAGGACCAACCAGGGATCTCTGAGACCAATTGGCTCCGGAGGACGATGTCTCGGGCGCCCCGGCCGATCCAGAGCGCTCCCAGGGAACGTTCCGAGAGCGGTCTGGAACGCACTGGAGCGAACGATCCTGGTATCCTCCTCCTCTTCCTCCTCCTCCTCCTCCTCTTCCTCCTCCTGGTCCTAGCCCCCTCCCGACCTAGCCACCCTAAAAAAGAGAAGCGAGGAAAAGAGGGGACGGGCGGAGGAGGGAGCAAGCAGGGAGGCAGCGGACCTGAAGCGAGGCCGGGTCCGGAAAGACGACCGCCTTTGGCGCCAGCGACTCCACCCAGTCCCGCAAGGCCACCTTGATGGGCTCGCGCGCCGCCTCTCCCGGGAGGACCGCGACGTGGTGCACGACCACTCGCTCCTCAGGAATGGCGTACTCGCTGGCGTCAGCGAACGAGGCCTCGCCTCTTGTCGGGGTCGTGGCAAAAACCAGCGCCTGCGGTGGCCGCGGCTGCGCCAGATAGAACCCGGGCCGCGTCTCCCCGCTCGGGGCAGCCACGGCCCAGATGGAGAAGCGGCGCATCGCGAGGTCGTCACCCTCGGCCAGGACCCGGAGGAGCTGCGCCTCCTGCACGGAAGAGGCACCCTTCCCCCGCTCCTGATTTTATCAATACGGGGTCCCTGGAAGACCCGACCGTTTCCCCGGGACCAGTTCTTCATCCTGAATGGTTTTTTGACAGTCCCGAGGCCCGGCGCGGGCCCCCCGAGGCCGAAATCGGCCACAAAACCCTCCCGTCCTGACTTCTTCACGACGCGCTCATTTCTGGGGACATGCCACGAGGCACGCGAGCCGAAGTCGCGGATCCTGCACGGACGCGAGCTCCGCGCCCGCCCCCTCGCGGAGCAGGGGCCCCGCCTGGCTCCACGGCACCGGCCACGCAGCGAAGCGGCCGCGCGCGGGGCTGCGCGGCGCGCCCTCTCGAGGGGGCCCAGGGGACACACAGGTAGACTCAAGTCGGGCCTGTCCCCCATACAGGGGGATTTTCGACGAAAAATAAAAAAATACCCTGAAAATGCCCCAAAAAGGTCAAAAAATACAAAAAGAACACAAAAAAGACGATGTTTGGACTATTGTTTGACTATGTTTGGGGTATTTTCCATTTTTTGTCGGAAATCCCCCTGTAGGGGGACACGCCCAACATAAAAGTAGACAGACACGGATCCCAGGTTTCCCCAGGTTCCTTCCCTAGTTTCTGGAGCAGCTGCGTCTGCCCCCCAGACACGGATCCCAGGATTCCCCAGAGTCCTTCCCGGCTCCTGGAATCTCATCCTCCCCGGCGCTTCCCCAGAGGCCTCCTGGATGGGGTCGGAGTAGATGGGGTCGGAGGATCGCGCCGTATCGGCATTGCATCGGCGACGTCCGCATGAAGCAAATCGGGCTCCACATCGAGCCGCATCGACGATGCATGGGCGATGCAGCACGATCCTCCGACCCCGCCTGCTCCGACCCCATCTAGGAGGCCTAGATTCCCATACTTTTCCTGCTCTTCTGGAGGATCGACGTTTATGTGTGTGCGCGTATCCGTGCCCATTTTGCCTTCTTGACCTCTGGCGCCCCGAGCCCTCGAGCCTCCGCCGCCTCGGCGGCGGCCAGCGCGGCCCGGCCGTCTGCGACGGCGGCGGCGAGGGCGGCGGAGTCGACGCCGCCGTCGGCCGCCGACGCCTCCTCCACGACGACCCGCAGCTCGTCCACGCGGGCCTCTATTGATGTTGTTCCCATCGTACTTGAGGACCACATCCCAAAAATTACTTCGAGCACCCAGAAAAGAAGCATCGAAACGGTGTCTGCCCGACTCGCCAGCGAAGTGTCGAAGGAGAGCATCGCCTCCAGGGGCCCGCCCGACGCGCGAAAGCCCTCCAGAGTTGGCACTCTCCTGGTGCTCGAGATCCTTTCTGGTGATCCACAGGAGCAGGGAGCAGGGAGCAGGGAGCAGAAGGAAGGAGGAGGGAGGAGGGAGGAGGGAGGAGGAGGGGGAGGAGGAGGAGGAACGGAGGAGGACGGGGGGGAAGGAAGAGGGGGAGAAGGAGGAGGAGGAGCAGGAGGAGGAGGAGGAGGACGAGGAGGAGGAGGGCTCGAAATTCTTTGTGGTGGTGAAGGCTGAAGTAGGTCGGCACGTCGTCAGCCTCTATCCGCGCCAGCTGGTCCAGGACGCGCAGCCACCCCAGCGGGCGCGCCGTCCCCCCGCGGCGCCGGGGCGCCCCCTCCTGGGGAGGGGGGGCCAAAGGCAGGCGCAGGAGGAGGAGGAGGAGGAGGAGGAGGTCGACGCGAATTATTGCCGGATTCCCCAGAGCCTTCCCCGTGATTACCTGCATTGTCCTCCTCCCCCTGCACTTCTCCCCTCCAGTCCCATGGCTTTTTTCCCATATCTAGTGGAATCCACGTTTTGTTGTGTGCTGGTTGGGGGCCCAGCAGACACGAGCATGTCGGCACGAATTGTTGCCCGATTCCCCAGAGCTTCCCCGTGCTTCCATGCATTGTCCTCCTCCCCCTTCACTTCTCCCCTCCATTCCCATGGCTTTTCTATATTTCATGAATCCACGCGTTGTTGTGTGCTCTTTTGGGGCCCAGGCAGACACGAGCAGGTCACCATGAATTTTCCGAAGTCCCCAGAGCTTCCCATGCTTCCCTGCATTGTCCTCCTCTCCTCTCCATTTCCAGGGCTTTCCCATATTCACATGTCGGCTCGAATAAGTAAAAAAACAACATGAAGTAGGAAGGCGGATAAAGTGGATTGGGTTCAGGGCCGCCCAGAGAACAACAAAGCACAGCAAAAGCACATCGATTCTTGAAGTAGGAAGGCGCCTGACGTAGATTGGGATCTGGGAATCCAAAAATACCCGAGCTTCAACGACCGACGAGTAATGGAACCTACGTTTTTTGTGCAGTGCCGATGCTTCCTGCCTGATTCCTGAGGGGTGGGGGGGGCAGGACGACCACAAAGACGTGGGCGTCCGCGCGGGCGGCAGGCTGCGACTGGCGCCAGAGACCCCTCCCGGCCACAGGCCGCACTGGGCCCACCCGCCACGCGAGATCTGCAAAAGTACGCGCCTCTTCCCGAGCCCACTCCGCCCAAGCACTTTCGGAGAAGGATGGGCACCTGTACAGCTACCCTTTCCCTCGTTCTCCCCCCGGTGGGCCTCCTGGGTGGCCCTCGTCGCCACCGCTGGATTCGCCTCCAACTTCTGGTCGGAACGCACCCCGGGGGAGGTCCGGGGAGCAGTGGTATTGGTACCCTTTGGTTCCCCCAACCTGTGGTCAGCGGCCGCGAGCGGGCAGACGGCGGTCGAGAATACGCTGCGACACGGGGCAACCCCGTGGAGGCACGGGAGGGGGGCTGGAGGAGGTCCCGGGAGGCGGGGGGCCACGCGCAGGCCGTGAAGACTACCCCAGATTTCGTAATAAAAGGGAGGGGGTCACAACCCTCCCAGACGAGAAGTTTTAGACCCCCCAGACTATCCATCAAAGGGCGGCCCTTTGCCCAGACCCCCCCGAACCCTCCGAGACAGCTCAAATTAGACCCCCCCCCGAATGTGACCTCCCCCACTATACTATGGAATCCGGAGTACCGCGTCCCATGCCACCAAGACAAGCGTGTTGCCTGCAGCACGTCTGAGAGCGCGAGCGCGCGCGTGCAAACTTCCAACAGCTAGTCGGAATGGCGTTGGGATCGGGGAGACGTAAGACTCGGGTGCGTGGGACTCGGGTTGGCCGGACGGGGGGCCGTCAGGAAAATGACGAGACCCAGTCTGAAACCTGACGCGAGCTCCCGCTGCACCCATCCCGCGACAAGTTCACCGTCAAAATCCAGGACTGGCTCGTCGAAAAACGTCGGCAAACCTAAGTTCCTGCGACTTCGAGTCTTACGTTTCCCCGATACAAGAGCCCCCGAAGTTGGATAGGCTGCAAGTAAACCGGCCAGGAGGGGAGGATTTCGCCAAATCTGGTCAAAATGAACCCCTGGACCCCTCCCAGGGCCCACGTGGCGCAGCTGTTCCCCCCGGGTCCGAGTTTGACGGACCAAGGGCACCCCGAGGCCGAAAAGGGAGGCGAAACACAAAAGAACGCAAAAACAGAAAACGGAAAAAACAAACAAAAAAAAAAAAAAAAAAAAAAAAATCTCGGACCCAGCACCTCGGACCTCGCCCCCCCCTCCCTCCCTACTCGCTGGAACCAGTGCTGGGCCACCTCAGGCCCCCAGCGCTGGCCCCAACCCGCACTCCGGCGCATGCATGGCCCCCCTCTCCCAGGGGTCCCTGGTGAGGGGGGGGGGCCTTTCGACGTTTCCGCAGGGGGGCGCCCTGGGCGCCTGCTCAGGCTAAAGAGACGCAGGGGCACACAAATCAATAGATACAAAATCCCAGGCTATCCAACATTTTCCCATGCTCTCGGGGCGTTCGTCTTCCCCCCCCCACTGTCGTCCATATTCTCCCACATCTCCTGGGAATCGACGGCTAATTGTGTCTGTGTGTTTTCTTCCCTCCTGGCAGACCCACCTCCACATTCACCGAGGGAACTGCATGCCAGGTTTAGGCGGCAGCCCCTTGCTGAGCCTTCTCACGTGGGCCCTCCCAACGGCCGACGTGGGAGGACAAGGCTCAGCCAACCTAACAGGAGGCCCCTGTCGCCCGAGGAGCGTCTGGGGGCAGAGTGCTGCTCGCGAGCGCGGTTCCCTCCCCCCCTGACCTCCGACTCCTCCGGGCTGATGCCCAGCATGTGCGCGATGCTGGCGACGCGCTCGGACACCTGAGCGACGAAGCCAGGACAGGGACAACATCGGACAAGGGATGGATCGGGGATCTCTGAGACCCGGCGGCCCTGGAGCATGCATCGGGCGAGCGCGGCCTTCGACGAGCACTCCGGACTGCTCTGAGAGCGTTCCAGAACGCTCTTGTACGAGTGATCCCTGCCCTGGCCCCTAGCCAAAACCTGAGCGAGGAAAACATTCTCTGCATGGGGAGAAGAGTTTAGATCAGACACCTAAGCCTAGTCTTAGGTCGGGCATATACTCCTACAGGCGGATTTGGGAAGACAAATGGAAAATAGTTGATCAACAACAACAACAACAACAACAACAACAACAACAACAACCACAACAACAGCAACAACAACAACAGCAACAACAGCAAGAACCATAACAAGAACAACAACACCAACAACAACAACAACAACAATAAGTTTAAGAATGTTCGCCCTTGTATGCTCGAGTGTCCAATAACGCGTATTTCCCAAAGCCTCGATACCCGCCCTCTTCGTCTTCGATCGAACCCCTTTTGGGGGGTATACCTTTCTTCCCTGCAGGCCGGGCCCCGGCAAGCGGCGGGGCGGCCGCGGACCGTCGGCCTGGCCAGCGGCAGCGCTGACCGGCGGGGCGGCCGCGGACCGTCGACCCGACCCCAAGAGGGACGGACAGGGGACCGACCACGACGACGACGACGACGACGACGACGACGACGACGACGACGTCGAAGACGACGGCGACGACGACGACGGCGCGACGACGAGCGAAAGCGAGAGCGAGAGAGAACGACAGCAGGGCCACGAAGGGCACGAAGTAGGCCACGAAGGGCGACAGCGGGGACACGAAGGGAATGCGTATGGGGCCACGAAGAGCGCGAACGAGCGGGGGCCACGAAGTGCAGATAATGCGGGGCCACAGAAGGCAACTATGGGGCCACTGAGGGTAGCAACTGGGCCACGTAGGACAGTGAGGGGGACACAAATGGCGACAGCGGGGCCACGAAGGGCATGCACATGGGGCCACAACGGGCGCGACTCCTGGGTGCCTGGGTGTCGGGAGCGCGGCGCTTGGGCAAATAGCAAGAAATTCCAACGCAACGCCATTCTTCAGTAAGTTGCAAGCAAGTCTCCAGCGAGAGCGCGACTCCAGAGCGCCGGGAGAGCGATTCCTGAATAAATTGTAAGGAAGTCCCAAACGAGAGCGCGATTCCTGAATAAAATGCGAGGAAGTCTCGGGCGGGAGCGGGGGTCCTGGTTAAATTGTGAGGAAGTCTCAGGCGGGAGCCGTTGTTGTTGTAACCCGGGGGCCAGGGGCCCAGTTTGAGCAGTAAGACTTTCCCTGTCAAAAAACAGGGTGCGAGCGTCGAGGGGCACACTTTGATTGAGAAAAAACAGTATGCACCGGTGGGGGGGATCAACAATAATTTTTCCTCAGAAATGAGTATTCAACAAGAACAACAACAACAACAACAACAACAACAACAACAACAACAACCATTTTAAGGCTGTACGCTCTTACTTGCCCGCGAGTCATTCAACACGTATACCCTACACCCTCGATACCCGCCCTCTTCGTCTTCGATCACACCCCTTTCGGGGGGATTATTTCTCTTTGCTGGGGCCGGCGGGCTTAGACGTACGGGCAAACCGGAACGGGCGGACAATCCTTCGGGGGCGTACATCTCTCTGCCCGCCATTGGAATTGGCGCGGGCCCTGCAAGAGGAGGAGGGGAAGAACGAGGGAGAGTGGGAGGAAGGGGAGGGGGAAGGACGAAGGAAGAGGGAAGATACCACGTTGTGAAGGCGTCCTTGGCGCGTGCGTGGTTCCTGAGCGCCGAAACGCAATTCCAGAATAATTTGTGAGGACGTCGCACGCGAGAGCGCAGTCCTGAGTACATTGTGAGGAAATCTCGGGCGGAAGCGGGGGCCCTGACTAAGTTGCGAGGAAGTCTCAAGCGGGAGCGCCGTTCCTGAGCAAATTGCACGGAAGTCTCAGGCGGGAGCGGGGGTCCTCACTAAATTGCGAGGAAGTCTCAGGCGGGAGCGCCGTTCCTGAGTCAATTGCGCGGAAATGTCAGGCAGGAGCGGGGGTCCTGAGTAAAATTCGAAGAAGTCTCAGGCGGGAGCGCCGTTCCCACGTAAATCGCACGGAAGTCTCAGGCGGGAGCGGGGGTCTTGATTACATTGCGAGGAAGTCTCAGACGGGAGCGCCTTTCCTGAGTAAATTGCGCGGAAGTCTCAGGCGGGAGCGGGGGTCCTGAGTAAAAATCGAGGAAGTCTCAGGCGGGAGCCGTTGTTGTTGTAGCCCGGGGGGCAGGGGCACAGTTTGAGCAGGAAGACTTTCCTTGAGAAAAAACAAGGTGCGAGCCCCGGGGGTGGCACTTCAATCGAAAAAAATCAATGTGCACCGGTGGGGGGGATCAACAATAATTATTCTTCAAGAATGAGAGTTCAACAACAACAACAACAACAACATCAACAACAACAACAACAACAAGCAACAACAAGCAACAACAACAACAGCAACAATCATTTTACCCGAACGCGTGGTGTTCTCCCCAGTGCCAGGGTTTTCATACGACACCAGGCAATACCCCCACTTCGTGGGGGGGCATTACAAGCTCTACCAAATATCCAAACGACTCTTCGCGACCACCCACACCCAGCTTCCCGCCCTATGACGTTGGGACACTTCACTTCGTGGCGTGCGGACGACCGTGGCTACTACACTGGCGTGGGGTACACACCCACAGAACTTGGTCACTTATTCGGGGCGCGCATGTGCCCAGCATGGTGCAATTGTGCCATACAATACATAATACGGTTTCTTGGAAGCATCTTGGGGCCTCTTGGGGGCTTATTGGGTCCTCACGGCGGGCTCTTGGGGCCTCTTGAAGGCCTCCTGGGGCAACCTATGGCGCAACCAGTAGGGGGACGTTTTATTCTCAGCGGCCGAGGGCGCAACCTATGGCGCAACCAATAGGGGGGCGTTTTATTCTCGGCGGCCGAGGGCGCAACCTATGGCGCAACCGCAAGGGATTATGGCCCCTGGCAGGCGCGCGAACCCCGTTGCAAGAGCGTGCGAAAGTAGCTCGCGCGAGCTCATGTAACATAAATGTTGGAAAACCATTGTTTTTTTTTAGGATTCGGACAGCGCGCGCGGGTGGAAATTTTGAAAAGTCGTGCAGCTGTTTTTCGAGGACCTACGGTGCGATTCGTGTGATTTTATGATGCGCGGTGCTAAAATTCTTAAGAACCCAATGGTTTTTGGAGATTTCGGCGTGCGCGCGCGAAGAAAAAACGAATGTGTCCCGCATGGTATTATTTGACAGGGATGATGGCCCTGGCAGGTGCGCAACCGTTGTCGCAGAAGTTCGAAAAAGTTGCTCGCAAAAGCCCGTTTGACAGAAATGTTTAAAAAGTGTTGGGTTTCCTACGAATCCGCAAGAGCGCGCGGGATGAGATTTTGACATTTTTTTGTTGAAAAACCATTAGTTTTTTGATGTTTTTATGTTGAAATCGCTCCGAACACTAAGCTTTTGGAAGGATTTCGTCTTGCGCGCGCGAATGTCCACTTTACCTTATTTTTTGCAAAGGATTCTTGAAATTTGATTATATTAGAACAAGAAATGTCATTTTATAGTGTTTTTTGCAAGGGAAAGCGGGGGGGAACAAAACAACCGGATCTTGATCACATCGAATTACCTGAGGTTTCCTCACGAAAATGATGAAAATGTAGCTGCGGCCTAGGCGGCGCAGGGGGGCCGTGCACCAGGGGCCCCAACAATAATTATTCTTTAGAATTAATAATGTTCAAAAACAAAAACAAAAACAAAACACAAAAAACGTCACCTGTCTATTTTTCTGCTATTCTTGAATGTTCCTCCTGTAGAGGGCCAGATTGCACCAGCGCACTCCCGAGGACTCTTTCTGCTGCACGTGCTGCGGCCAGGCTCTCGCGCGCGCCAGGCACGTCAGGGGGGAGAGCGGAGGGGAGGGGAGGCGACGAAATCTGTACATATCCGCTGCTCCCTAGCATGACGCATCCCGAAACCAGTAGCGGTGTATAAGCCACGCCCTCGTGGCCTGGCCAGGAGGGCGTACACACAGCTACTGGATTCAGGACAGGCCAGGCCAAGGAGCAGTGGATACGTACAGACTTCGCCGCCCGAGGAGGGGAGGGGACGAGGGGGGCAGAGAATGCTCGGTGCAAGCTAATGAGTGTGTCTCGCCGAACACGCCCGAGCGACGAAGACAAACGGGTCTTCGAAGGCACAACGACCTCACGCCGCGGCTTGCGCGGGCCACCAGCATTGCACACCCGCGCAGAGAAGAAGGCGCTCACGCGAGGCCTCACGCGGAAAGCTCACGGCGCGAATGTTGGCGCGGTCGACACCGCTTTCGGCAACACGCAAGAGCGACCCTGGGATGGGGAAGAGTGACCTTTGGAGCGCGGATCTTGGGAGGCCGCAGGGGGGGGGGGGGGGGGGGGGGCCAAACACAAGCGCGCAAGACGCTACTATCGCATCGAGTTCGGCGGTCGGGGAACCCTGGATGGGCCTGGTCACCAAAGGCCACTCTGACGAAAGGTCACTCTTACGTCTAGTCGAGCTGTCTTCCGCCACTCACGCACGTGGCAGGTCCCAGAACCCCCGAAACCCCAAAAAAAACACCTCCTGGGCGGCAAACTTGTTGCTTCCGCGTGCTTCCGCCGGCAAGGGCGCCCCCGTTCTATTTCCGCCGCCTTCCGCTGGCCTTTCGTCGCCTTCCGCCTTCCCTGAAATTCGACGCTGCAGTGTAAAAACTATAGATACGATATATATATATATATATATATATATATATATATATATATATATATATAACACGCCCCCGAAAGCCCGACAGGGGCCCTGGACCCCATCTTTCTGCTACACTTTTCGAGTCGCCGGGGGAACGAAGCCGGGCGAAGACGCCTAGGGCGAATGAAGCTGCAACGCCCTTTTCTCGGGGTTCGACCCTCGGAAGCGACGCCCGTTCTTCCGTCGCCCACCTGCACCAGAGGCTTCCCCACCGCGGCGGCGCGCGTTCGCGCTGCGCGACTGGCCGCTGCCGCGCCCACGGCAAGGGCCGCTCCTCCTCCGAGCGCGGCGGCGGTGGCGCCCGCGACCGCAGAGGCGCCGGCGGTCCTGGCAGCGCCTCTGGGGAAGGAAAGGTCGGAGAAGCAGAGAGAGAGAGAGAGGCACACAAACACACACACACACACACACACACACGCACACACACACACACACACACACTTACACGCACACGCACGCACGCACGCACGCACACACACACACACACACACAGACACACACGCACGCACGCACGCACGCACGCACGCACGCACGCTCGCTCGCCCGCACGCACGCACGCACGCACACACACACACACACACACACACACACACACACACACACACGCACGCACGCACGCACGCACGCACGACGAACGCACGCACGCACGCACGCACGCACGCACGCACGCACGCACGCACACCACACCCACACCCACCCACCCACACCCACCCACACCCACCCACACACACACACACACACACACACACACACACTTGAGCGTTCGCGGGCCGAGCCACGCCTCTGGCCGAGTCGAAGCTCTACGGGCGCACGCGCGCGCGCCAGCCAAGCAGGAAGGAGTGGCTGCGCACTGACGGGGGCAGTGGCGAGGCGAGGGGAGCAGCGGCCGCGGCGGGGGCCGGCAGCGGGGGGCGGGGGGGGGAGGTGGCAGCAGGCCGCGGGGGGGGGGAGGCAGTCCAGCGCGGCGCCGAGCGGACGCGCGGAGCAGCGGGGAGCAGCGGTGGCCCAACGGGGCCGCAGCGGGGCGGGGCGGGCCGCCCCAGGCGGGGTCATTGGGCGGGTCGCTGGGCCGCCCCGGGCGGGGTCGAGCGCATCCCTGCCCCTAAGATCCGGAAGCCCCAGGCGATGACAGTCTCAGGGATGTGCCCTGAGGAACTGGAGGAAGCCTTGAGATCGGCACCGAGCGAAGGTGATCTGTGAAGTGTGCTGGAAGAGCGAGGACCAGGCATGCCTCCAGAAAGGGACGGGGAAGCCCGCGCGAACACTTTTCGGGACAAGTAGCCCCGGGCGGCCATTTTCCCAAAAAGTGGTCGCCGAGCTCGCGGGCCGCAGATCGAGACCGCGATCGGGGGAGCGTGGCGAAAAATTGTGGAGGCAGGCTTGCTTCCTGGTCGTCGACGCGCGTGGAGGTCTGAGCCCCGAGTCAGCTCTGATCCCGACTGGTCGGGTCATCTTTCTGTTGAGGCTGAGGCCGAGGTCTGGGGCACACGCGCTCAGCATAACTCCACGTAGCATCCGAGCTGAGTTTCCAAGACAGTGCAGACAAGCAGGGAAAAGATGGGTGGCCTTGCATGCGCTCGCAAGAAAAATCATCATCGCCAACATCAGATGCATCATTTCGTCGTCCATATCATCATCATCATCATCATCATCATCATCATCATCATCATCATCATCATCATCATCATCATCATCATCATCATCATCATCATCATCATCATCGCCGTCGCCGTCGCCGTCGCCGTCGCCGTCGCCGTCGCCGTCGCCGTCATCATCAACAACATCAACAACAGCATCATGAACATGCTAACCATCATCGTGAGAATCATCATCATCGTCATCAGCATCAGCATCAGCATCAGCATCAGCATCAGCATCAGCATCATCATCATCATCACCACCACCACCACCACCATCATCATCATCATCATCATCATCATCAGCATCGGTATCATCATCATCATCATCATCATCATCATCATCATCATCATCATCATGTTCATCACCATCACCATCACCATCATCATCATCAGCAGCAACAGCATCAGCATCAGCGTGAGCATCATCATCAGCATCAGCAGCATCAGCATCAGCGTCAGCAACATCCTCATCATCATCCTCATCCTGATCATCATCCTCAGCATCAGCAGCATCAGCATCAACATCAGCATCATCATCAGCAGCATCATCATCGCCATCGTCATCATCATCATCATCATCATCATCATCATCATCATCATCATCATCATCGTCAGCATCATCATCGTCATCAGCACCAGCATCATCATTAGCATCGTCATAATCCTCATCATCATCAGTATCATCGCCATCGTCATCAACAGCAGCAGCATCATCATCATCATCACCATCATCATCATCATCATCATCATCATCATCATCATCATCATCATCATCATCATCATCATCATATTCATCATCGTAAGCATCTAATCATCGGCGTCAACGTCGTCGTCCCCATCCTTATCATCACCGTCATCATGATCATCATCATCAGCAGCAGCAGCAGCAGCAGCAGCGTCAGCATCATCATAATCATCATCATCCATATCATCATCAGAATCCTCATCATCATCAGCAGCATCACATGATCATTATGATCATCAGCGGCATCAGCATCATCAGCAAAATTGTCATCGTCATCAGAATCAGCATCATCCGTATCCTCATCATCGTCATCCACAGCATCATCATCATAAGCATCATAATCATCTTTCCCCGACCGTTCCCCACATCACGTTATCCTCCTCATCCTCATCCTAATCCTCATCCTCATCCTCATCCTCATCATCACCATCGTCATAATAACAATAAGCATCATCATCAGCATCATCATCAGCATCCTCATCCTCATCCTCGTCCTCCTCCTCGTCCTCCTCCTCCTCCTCCTCCTCCTCTCCTCCTCCTCCTCCTCCTCCTCCTCCTCCTCCTCCTCCTCCTCCTCCTCCCTCCCCCTCCGCCTCCTCCTCCGCCGAACTCCGAACTCCAGGGCCCGAAGCTCGAAGTCCCAGCGTCGAAGCTCGAACCTCTGGACGATCCGACGCGCCCCCCCGCCCGCGGCGCCTCCCCGGAGAGGGGCGGCGGGCGCCGCCGGGGCGACGGAGTGCCTGGCCGACGGGCTGCCGCCAGGACGGCGCACCTCCGCGGGCCGCGGGGGGGAGAGGGCGGGGCCGACGCGGGGGAGAGCGCGGGGCCCCGAGGGGGAGAGGGCGGGGCCGCGGGGGGAAGAGAGCGGGGCCGCGGGGGAGGGGGGCCGCCAGGACGGCGCACCTCCGCGGGCCGAGGGGGAGGGGGCGGCCACCATCCCTCGCAGACCGCAGCGCACGCGCGCCCCCCCCTGAAGCCACAGCCCCTCGTGAGCTCCCAGCCGCGCGCCGCACTCCCGAGGCCACCAGCCTGGCACAGAGCCGCTCGTGCTCTGAAGCGCGACCGGCGGCCACCGGTCCCTGCGGCCGCTGCATCGCACGCGCGGGCGCGGCCACCGTCCCAAGCAGGTTACACGGCACGCGCGGGGCAGGGCGATGAGGAAGGGCGGACGAGGAGGATTTTTGTGCGAGCCGAGGCGTTTTCGCTTGGCTTCCGGGCCCCGAGACCCCCGAGACCCTCACAGATCGATCCGGCTCAAAAAAAGGGGCGGCTCCACTGATTCTTGTCTATGCATAAACTTTTTCGAGACATCGGATCTCGGTGAGGGGGTCCCCTGTTGCGGAGTCCCTGGAGGTTTCCCTGATGCATGGAGGGTACGGTATAAAGGTTTTTGACACCGCGTCGATCGTTCCACCTAGAGTCGATCGCGGCCCCGATGGTTCGAGGCTGAATTCCGCCAGAACCAGTGGCGTCACCGTGTCCCTCGGTGCTCCGGCGTCGCAGAATTCAACCCTGAACGCCTTCGCCGGCGCCGACGCGCCAACGCCGCATGAACCTACCGTACAGTCGGCCCGTATCACAGGGACGCGCGATAAGGACGCAAGGGCCTCGGAAGGCCATTTCGAAGCTTCTCGAGCGGGGCGCGGCCAACGAAAGTGGCCAAGGATGGCCGAGGAGGCAAGGATGCAAGGGTACCTTTGGGAAGGTCCTTACTATGCGGGTTGACTGTAGGAGGTGCGGGAGGAGCGAGGATGCCTTCAGGAGCGCCTCTTGCGCATTCGGATCGCACTTCGTGAAGGAATCCCACATCTTGAGGGGGCCAGGCCCTCGCCCTGGGCCCGGAGAGCCAGGCCCTGGCCCTGGGCCCCGGGGGAAGGAGGAGCGGGACGAGGGAGGGAGGGAGGGAGGAGGAGGGAGGGAGGGAGGGAGGGAGGGAGGGAGGGAGGGAGGAAGGGAGGGAGGGAGGGAGGGAGGAGGAGGAGGAGGAGGAGGGAGGAGGAGGGGGGAGGAGGAAAGGGGGAGGGCGAGGAGGGAGGTGGAGGAGGGAGGAAGGGGGGGGGAGGGGGGGGGAGCAGGGGGAGGAGGAGGGGGGAGAGGAGGCCATGCCCTGCTTCCCCTGGCTCCCAAGGTGGGGGGCAGCAGCAGCAGCATGGGTATGGGTCGAGCGTCGACCGTCGATATTAGACCCCAGCTCAGAGCTGAAGATAAGTACGCTAAGAAAATCGACTTCATTGGAAGCGTTTTCTTAAATAGTAGTCCAGGTCCAGATACACAAGCAGTCAGCAAATCAAAGACGCTCCAAGAAAACGCCCAGGGTCCAATCAGATCCTTGATGTTCTCAAACGGTTTTCTCAGATTGACGGTTTCTTGAGTCGATTGACATGTTTGAAGGCGCTTATTGAAAACATCGACGCCCGATGATGCTATAGTGAGTTCGGCATGTGCGCGCGGGGGCGGGGACGAGTGGTCCGCATGAAATCGTTTAGCCAGGCTGGCGGGGGAAAAGTATAACTTGTGAGTCACACCAGCCTTTTGGGCAAAGGTGGTCTAACGAGTTCTTGCTCTTCCCGATTCCAAAGACCTCTTCCCTTCCAGGATGGTTACCTCCCTCTCCACGGTTTTCTTCTTGCGGGGTGGGCGCTCGGTCAGAGCGCCCAAGATGATCCAAGATGGCTCCAAGAGGGCCTCCGATGCTCCAAGATGGCATCCAAGATGGGTCAAGACAGCCAACGATGGTTCAAGATAGCTTCCGGCATACCTCTAAGAGGCCCGACGAGGGCCACAAGACGGTTCCAAATGCTCTCGGAGCCCTCTCGGGACCCCCCAGGAAGCCGAAATCCTTCAAAACCTACGGATAATCAATGATGTTTGTTCTCTCCGTTTCGCTTCCGAAGCACTTTTGAGTTCACAAGATGGCCTCAAGACGGCCCAGGAGAGGCCCAAGAGGGCCCCAAGAGCGCTCAAGAGCGCCCTAAGAGGGTCCCAAAAGTGCCCCGAGAGACGATTTTGACGGCCCCAGGAGGGGGAGGGGGGGCAGAAATCGAGGACCCCCCCCTTTTGATCGATGGTTCCCAAGATGGCCAGAAGAGGCCCTCCAGGGCCCCAAAAGACCCCCAAAATAGCTCCAAGAGGGTCCCAAGAGGGCCCTTAAACACCCCAACAGAGAAACCCACGATCCCCCAAAAGAGTTCCAAGAGGGCTTCAAGAGGCGATTTGGAGGGCCATGTCCTCGTCCTCGTTGTCCTCCTCCTTCTCGTCCTGGTCCTCGTCCTCGCCTTCATCGTCTTCCTTTTCCTGTTCCTCCTCTTCCTCGTCGTCGTCGTCGTCTTCGTCTTCCTCCTCCTCCACCTCCTCCTCCTCCTTCCCTTGCCCCCGCGCGGGTCCCAGGGATGGCCCGAAAAGGCCCTCCAAGGCCACCCCCTTGCTCCGAGAGCGTTCTCTGTTCACCTTGGTTGCCCGCTCTGTTTCACTACATGTGTCTTTTCGCCCCTCTTCCCAGCAACCCTCACGGGCAGGGTTTCTGAGTGGGCTGGAGGGGATACGCGAGGCGTGAATAATTGATCAAGGGCGCGGTGGCGTCTGACAGGAGACGGGCTGAAGCGACGGAGCGAGGGAGCGAAGGGGGGTGGGCGGGCAGACGAGGGTGACGTAAGAGAGGGAGCGAGGGAGCGAAGGGAGGGAGGCACGCAGCCTGAAGGGAGTCCGCCGCGCGAAGCGCCAACGGCCACTGAAAGGCGAGCCAAGACCCAACGGCCTCGGCTCAGCGCCCGCTCGGCGCCCACCCCAAAGCGCCCACCCGAGATCGGGATCACGGCGGGGAAGGCGCGCAAGCGCAGTGAGAGCACGCATGGAAGAATGGCGAACTCTTATAGGAAAACCCGACAAACGAGTTAAGTGAGGTTCAACCAGTGAACCTCGGGGTCATCGACTCTGAGACGCCTCTGACCAGATATGGAGTCGTGTCGCTTGTGGTCGGCAGGGTGCCGATTCGTATTGTAACGATGTATATGGGACGCGGCACGATTAGAATATGGCGGAGGCGGGCAACTAGAAACCAGAGAGGACGCTTTGCCCGTGGAAATACCACCACAAGTCATACATATGACAACCGCCCCAGGAGCAACGAAAAGCTCGTGCCCTCTAGCCACCTCGGGAGGGATGTTTCCAGAATGGGGCAGGGTGCGAGCAGGACGAAAGCTTCGGTCGGCGGCAGGGCCCCCACCCGTCCCTCCAAGACGCCGCGCCTTGATCGGCGGCTCCCTCCCGAGCGGCCGCGGAGGGTCTCTGCGAGGAGGCTGAGGAGAGGGGGGGGGGGGACGCAGCAGCAGCAGCAGGCGGCCGCGCCTCGAATTCACGGACGACCTGTGGGAGGACGTCCGCACGTGGAGCGAAACTGACGGCCCTGGCCGAGGACGGCGCGGGGCCTGAAACGCGGGCTCTGACCATCCTCGGAGGAGGGGAGGGAGAGCGAGGCCGCGCCCTGGCGGCGATGATGCGAGCGTGAACTCGCCTCAACACCTGAGAAGGGGAAGGCTCACCTCCAGAAGGTTCAAGGTTCCCATCCCTCCCCGACTGCGACGGCGACGACAGGTCCCCGCTCCCACCCGATATTGGACCAGGGGGAGCAGGCGCAGGCAGATCCTCGCCAGCACAATGCGACGACCGATCACACGACAAGTCGCGACCTCTTGGCTCAGAGGAGTCTGCCTGCAGCCGAGCTCGAACCCTCCGAAGGTCTCTGAAAGGCGAAGCCGACCGCTCCCGCGACTGGCCAGCAGGGGCCTCACACACGTTAGGTGGAGACGGAACTTCGGGCGGCTCGCGTGAGCCAGCAGAAGCAATTAAGCGCTCGCGCAAAGATATCTTCGCAGGGCACTGGCGACGCGCGAATATCTGACGCTGCTTGGAGGTGGCAACATACTTCGCGCACAGCGGACACCGCCAGCCTTTCCCTGACGGGTAAAACTTATGAAACAGATTAGCGTCGTCAGTTTTTCGGGCTTTAGCCTTAGCTCTAGCACGACGACGCTCCCGAAAACGAATTTCACCTGGGGCAACCGTGGCCCCCATAAACTTAGCGTGGGCCTTGGCAAGCCAAATTAGGCCTTTCCTAGCCGAACGAAAAAGCAACTCGACCCGCTTAGCTACTTCTTTAGTTACGGCATGCATGTCACGGCCCTCACAGGCCGCGAAATCGGCCCACCTGTTCCCCCGAGCTTCGTATCCCTGACCTTTCTGATGTCCAGGCACGTGTGCTATTTGGAGAGAGTCAGAAAGGCCTCCAAGATCTTCAATACGTCGCCAAATCTCACACCACAAATCTGCATTAGGACGCCGAGGATGACAACCCCAAGCCGGCCCTCTCTCAAGGCCTTGCGGTAAATCAAGATAATCAGTGAGTATCCTGAGCGGGAGAATAGCAACGCGTAGTATCTGAGCAACTGCAAATAACTCCGCACGCGGCGATGTCTGCATCGGCCCTGGCAGCGGTCCGTACACCACGAGGTCAATCATGTTGGGCCGAATCTGCGCAAAGCCCCAGCCAGCACGAGTAGCCTCTGGCCCGTAGAAATACTTTCGGCAAGCCCCATCAGAAAATACATCGCCTGTCACGGCGCTGGCATCTCCGTATAAAACTCGCCAAACTGCGCTATCATCACGTGGAGGTGGTGATGGCAATGCTGTCTAAGCGAGCAAACCTCTAGCCCAGCACCATGAAGAAGGAGAGACTTCAGGAAGACACCCCTGCTCATCAGCGTTGCCAAATACCTG